TGTTTCATGCCATGGGCTTGAACATAGAAAGTGGTAGACACTGGAGCAGATGGGAAGCTGGACCTGATTAGCCTTTGGACTGAAAAAGTAGTCAATGAATAGATGCTGCCCCTTACAAGTAAGATTCAGTCCACTGCAGCTGCATCAGTTCAGAGACTGTCAGAATGAAGAGGGGTTTTTGCCCGGTTTCACGTTCATGTCTTCTCACTGTGGGATCTCTTGCACAGTAATATATTCCAGTATCCTCAGCCTTCAGGCTGTTCATTTGGAGGTACAGCATGTTGGAGGGGTTGTTGCTTGAGATGGTAAAGCGCCCCTTCACCTTGTCTGAATAGTATGGATAGTTGCTAGCAAGCCATAGCCTTGCAATCCATTCCAATCCTTTTCCAGGGGCTTGTCTCACCCAGTTCATGCCATAACTGGTGAAAGTGAAGCCAGATGCTTGGCAGGAGAGACGGAGGGACTCCCCAGGCCTTTTCACATCCCCTCCAGACTCGACCAGTTGCACCTCTGATTGGACAGCTAAAGAAAAAGAATTTTTAAATGAACATAATGTATACATGGAAATCATCACACCACATCCCCTTATGTGTTTGGAGAAATTTACCTCCAAGAACTGCTGAAAATAAAGTCAGTTGAATTAATATTGTCATTTCCCCTTTAAATTGTTTGAGTGGTTTGAGTCTAAACCTGTCCCAAGTAAACAGGGGTGTTGCAGCTGGGACAGTGATAGGGTATGGTGGTATTTATAGAAAACCATCTCTGAAAATTTGCATATGTATCAAGATAAAAGTTGCAACTTAGCCCTTTTGGAAGCAATGGGTGGAGGCAGGAATGGGCTCTCTAATGACCCACTCAATTACTAAACTCCATTAAAACTTTCTGCAAAAAAGGCCAGTTTTGCAACCAAATTACAACAGCTAATGCCAGTTAGAACATACATCCTTTTAAACCTTTTAAACATACATCTGGACCCATTTCAGTCTGGCTTCAGACCTGGGTACGGTACTGAATCTGCTTTGGTAACCCTGTATGATGACCTGTGCAGGGAGAGAGACAGGGGGAGTGAGTCCCTGTTGGTTCTCCTGGACCTCTCAGCAGCTTTCGATACCATCAACCATGGTATCCTTCTGGATAGGCTAGCAGGATTGGGGGTCGGAGGCACTGCTTTGTGGTGCTTCCGCTTCTATCTGAATGGCAGATTCCAGAAGGTGGTGCTGGGGAACTATGGCTCTGTGCCTTGGCAATTATGCCATGGAGTTCCGCAGGGGTCCATTTTGTCCCCCTTGCTATTCAACATCTACATGAAACCGCTGGGAGAGGTCATCAGGAGGTGTGAGCTGCAGAATCATCAGTATGCTGATGATACCCCGCTCTACCTCTCATTTTCAACCAATCCAGGTGAGGCAGTGGCTGTACTGAACCGGTGCCTGGCCGAGGTAATGGGCTGGATGAGGGCCAATAAACTGAAGCTCAATCCAGATAAGATGGAGATCCTGTTGGTGGGTGGTTCAGGCTTTGGGGTAGGGGACTTGGACCTTGACCTGAATGGGGTTGCACTCCCTCTTAGGGACAAGGTTCGCAGCTTGGGAGTGCTCCTCGACCCAGAGCTGTCATTAGAAGCTCAGGTGATGGTGGTGGTGAGGAGTGCTTTCCTTCAGCTACGGCTGATCCATCAGCTGCGTCCCTACCTGGAGAACGATTGTCTGGCGACAGTGACACATGCACTGGTAACTTCCTGATTAGACTTCTGTAACGCACTCTACATGGAGCTACCCTTGAAGATGGCCCGGATACTTCAATTGGTGCAAAACAGAGCTGCCAGGTTGATGAAGGGGACTAGGCATTGTTCTCATATAACCCCAGTCCTCCGTCAGCTTCACTCACTTCCCATTGAAGTCTGGGCCCAATGCAAGGTGTTGGTTATCACCTATAAAGCCCTCAACAGCTTGGAACCTGGCAATCTAAAGGAGTGCTTGTGTCCATATATGCCCTCCTGTCCCTTGAGATTGGCAGCAGAGGCCCTTCTCCAGGAACCCTCCATGAAAGATATTAGGAGGGTGAGTACCCAGAGGAGGGTCTTCTCTGCGGTGGCACCCCACCTATGGAATGCACTTCCCAGAGAGGTCCACCTGGCACCGTCGTTATTTGTTTTTTGGCGCCAGGCCAAGACCTTTTTATTTAAAAGTTATTTTAATTGTTAATTTATTGATTGTATTTATTGGGTTTTTATGTATGTGCCAAGATGTTTCCAGATTTTAAGGCTAATTATGTAATTGTTTATTTATGCTGTAAGCCACCCTGAGGCTTTTTGCGAATAGGGCAGCATAGAAATTGTTTAAATAAATAAATAAAACCACTTTCATAGCACTTGGATATGTTATTCAGAGCTGTCCTAAGTATCCTGTCAAAGAGAACAGTCTTAACTTGGTAATGCCTGGACAGTAGAGTTTATTTATTTATGTATTTATTTATTAAAACATTTTTATGCTGCCCCATTCTCTGAAGCCTCGGGGCAGCTTACAACAATAAATTAAAACATCAGAAATAACCTGGCACCTGGCAGTCCCCAGCAGGGATATTAGGGGGCCACCACCGAAAGGACCCTCCTCATTGTTCCCACCAACCTATCCTCCTTCATATTTGACAGTAGGATGGAGGCCTCACAAGTTGACCCAAGAATCCAGGTAGCTTGCAGTTGGGAGAGGTCCCTACATCCATGATGGAAAGGAGAAATAGAGTTGCATGTAGTGGTGTTCTGATAACAATGTGTCCAAAGCTCTTGAGGGACCCACTCAGTGGATTCATGTGCATATGAAATAGCATGTGGGACATTCAAAAAGAAACTGGACAGCCATCTGAGTGGGGTGGTGTAAATTGGTGTCCTGCAACAGCAACGGGTTGGACTCGATGGCCTTCATCGCCCCTTCCAACTCTTCTGTTCTATGAATCTACAAGAGTAAACCTTGAGAATCTCCATACTGGAAGTGTCCAAGAGGCTGAGCAGTATTGCCCAAGCACCACCTTCTGTGACTGGCCATCCAAGTAGGAGCAGAACCAGTGTGATGTAGGATTTTCCATAAAGATCATGTAGGAATGAAATGACTTTACCTGATAGGAATCCATCCTACCTCCAGCTTTCACAGCCATTTGCACATTCTCTGTGCATGATGATCAGACTTTGAAAAGTGCCCCATAATCATATGATAATCGTATCACCTCATTTTCATTAAAAGAAAACACAGATCTACCTTTTTAATAGCCCACTGTAGGGATTCTCTTGAGGAAGTCACCCCTTAAGAGAATGTTCCCACAGTCTTTTCACTCTGAGAGTGGAAAATCTGCTTGGTTGCCTATTTTATTGCCTATGTGGCCAATAATTTTCTTCTTTGCTGCCCCCTTGTGAAAAACTGTGAGGCTGGAATGAAAGGAAAGGTAACAAATGGGTGTCAAATACTTAAGAGCAGAATCACTTAAATATTCCTTCCAGACAACAAATTCATTTTTTAGAGGCCTTCTTTTTTCAACTCACATTGACAGTTGTGGTTCAATAGTGGTCTTTATTTCAGGATCCAGTGCAGCTTTGTATCCAAAGGCAGACTGACCAGTGCTTTTGTGGTTTTTGCTGCTGCTGCTGCTGGTGATGGTGGTGCTTGCCCCATTGGAAATATTTTAACCATGCTCTGCTTATTGTGCCAGACACAGCAGAGAAAATTGTGGTCTGATGTGGGAGACAATCATAACAACAATAATTTTGGGGTCTAAAACGCAGCTGCTGGAAACCTAATAATCTCTCCTGAGATTATTCAAATCACTATAATTTGTTTATCTGGTCAAAGCTCCCAAAAGCTTTCCAGTAGAAAACAATTGATAAGCATGCCCTAAAGTGGTTATAAGGAAATTCTTTTTCCATGGAATGCCAGGAACAGAACTGGAGCTCTGTTGTCCACATCTCTGTTTCTCCTTCTCTTGTCTTAGATAAACTTCTTGTCTCATTGAGAAAGAAGAGATGCCACCAGGATGTTGAGCCTGCTGATATTCTGGCTTCTGTTGTCACCCATAGTGTGGGAAGTACTTGCCAGGGACTGCCCCATGAATAATCCAGTTCATGTCCCACATGAGTGGTACCAACCAGCTAAACTTCTCATTGGTGGGCTTGCATCACAGTTCACATACAGTCTGAATGAAATTTTCTTTAAGGAATATCCTCAGATGTTGTTCGAGGCACTGGGGTAAAGCCAGAAATAAGTCTTATGTTCTTTAAAGTCTCTGATTTATCCTGGCACAAGCTGTATGGACCACAGTTCACTTCCCAAACATTTGGAAATCTGGTGTACAGCTGTAGTTGGATCAAACAATGAATCAGTGGACTGAAAATTCGGTCATTGCATATGAGGATCTGTGAAGACTGAATTCTTCAATAATCCCAATTGTCAAATTAATATGATTTGATCTGATTTAGAATTTGAAACTCATTTCTGTTATCACCATTTTATTTCATAGTTGTTCTTAAATAGTTGGAGATGGTCCTCCTGAAATGAATTCCAATTCATCTCATCCAGAGACAACCCTTAAGGCCTAATATGATGCAAGCTGTCCAGATAACCTATGGCTAGGGGGATAGAATAGAAATCAAGTGAATGAATGAATGAATGAATGAATGAATGAATGAATGAATGGATGGATGGATGAATGGATGGATGGATGGATGGATGAATGAATGAATGAATGAATGAATGAATGAATGAATGAATGAATGAAGATGGCACAAGTCTTTCCTTAGATCACTTCAAAGAGACAAAACTAAAGCAGGCAGTTCACAAATGCTAGGATTTCAATTAATTAACCTTGTCTTGAATAAAGGAGTCCTTATTAGCACAGAAGCAGTAATAATGCACAAAATGTTGTGCTTCTCTCTACCTGAATCAGTGAAATTTCTGGTTTTGTGATACAATCTATACTGCAGAATTCTCAGTTGGTAAATTAACTCTATTTGCAGCATGGTAACGAAATTCTATCAGCACATCCTGACTTTGGCATTTGCTGTGAAGGAGATCAATGAAGATCTGAACATCTTGCCCAATGTAACCCTTGGGTTCCACATCTATGATAGCTACTACGATGCGAGGATGACCTACCGTACTACTCTGGGCCTACTCTTTAAGTCGCACAGATTTGTTCCCAACTACAAATGTGACAATGAGAAAAACCTCATATCCATTATTGGAGGGTTTGGCTTTGATACCTCTTTGCATATGGCGGACATTATTAGATTCTATAAGATCCCACAGGTAAGATTAGAGAAATGGGAAATTACATTCTCCATTTATCATAGAAACATAGAAACAGAGCGAGTCAGGCCATCTAGTCTGACCACCAGCACCAGCTGACTCCGCTCACGACATGCCCACCATGTGGACATCCAGCCTATCCCTGAACACCTTCACTGATGGGGCCTCAACAACCTCTCGTGGAAGCCCATTCCACACCCTTGGGGTCCTGACTGTCAGGAAGTGCTTTCTGGCATCCAAATGGAACCTTGGGTCCCTGAGCTTTGCTCCATTGGAGCGTGTTCTGCCTTCCTTTGCAGGGGAGAACAGGTCTCTACCCATCTCCATGTGACATCCCCTCACATACCTGTATGTTGCCAACATATCCCCTCTGAGTCTCCTCTTCTCCAGGCTGAAGAGACCCGGTTCCCTCAGTCTCGCCTCATACCCCATTCCCTGCAAACTTGTGGCCTTACGCTGTACTGACTCCAACCTGGCTATATCCTTTCTGTAATGAGGGGCCCAAAGTGGTAGTGTAGAGTGGTAGTAATACCTCTCTTAATCTAGAAGCCACACTTCTGGCTATGCAACCAAGGTTGGTCTTTGCCCTCTTGACCACTGCATCACACTGCTGACTCATGTTTAGCCTACAGTCAACCAGTACCCTGAGGTCCCTTTCACAAGTGCTGCTCTCCAGCCACTTGTCACCTAACCTGTACTTATGACACCCATTCCTATGCCCCAAGTGCAAGACCTTGCACTTATCCACATTGAACACCATTCTGTTGTCTTCTGCCCACTTCCATAGTCTGTCTAGATCCTTCTGGATCCGGAGTACCTGCTCCTCAGTTGTGGCCACTGCTCCAGTTTTAGTGTCGTCTGCGAATTTGATCAGCAGACTGTTCACCCCTTCTTCCATGTCATTAATGAAAAGATTAAACAGGATCGGCCCCAGGACAGAGCCCTGGGGGACCCCGCTTGTCACTGGCCACCATCCCGATGATTCCTCACTAATGGTTACCTTGTTCTTTCGGTCAGTCAACCATGCTCTAATCCACTGGACAGTGCTTTGGTGTATCCCAAAACTCCTCAGTTTCTCCACCAGGATATCATGGGGCACTTTGTCAAAGGCCTTGCTGAAATCCAGGTATACCACATCCACTGCATCCCCTCCATCTAGCCATCTCGAAACCTTGTCATAGAATTCCACAAGGTTTGTCTGGCAGGACCATTCTGTGAGTAACATCATTGTTCAAAAGAGCAGAGGACCATGACAATCCTCATGAATGTAATCAACAGCCCAGAAATTTAGTTATATTCCCATTATATAATTAATCCTAATGCAGATTCACCCAAACAACTAAAATATGTAGACCAGTAAAAATATTTTTTTCAAAAATGAAATAACTTCAAGTTGATGGGTACGAAGTATGTGTCCAAAAATATTTATACATGTATAATGAGATATCGATCAACAGACAAAATTGGATATAAACTGTGGGAACAGGCAGAATAAATATCCAATTTCATTATCATTCTCCAGAAGACACCTACATGGAAAGTGTTAGCTTGCAGGAGGTAGGGGTAATCTATCTAAAGTTATGCTACCTGTATTTTAGCTTTCAAAATTATGTGGGAGATCCACTGACATGAGAATTACAAAGACAATAATGTCCCAGAATATGGGGAAGTTCCATCAAAGGAGTCCTTAAATTATTCTCCTAACCTACCTATTCCTTCCTCAAGTAGCTGGTACATATTGAGGAACAAGCAGATTAATACATTTCACAATAACTGCATTTTTATAGTTCATGTATTTGTTTTATTTTATTTCAGCTAACATATGGCTCATTTGCCCCTAAGGAGATGGCCACAGCTTGGGTTCCTCCATTTTACTGTCTGAGCCCAAATGAATCCCATCAATATACTGGACTTATCCATCTACTTCGACATTTCAAATGGACATGGGTTGGCCTCTTTGCTGTTGATACTAATACTGGAGAGTATTTCTTAAAGGTCATGGAAGAATCTCTTTCAAAAAATGGAATATGTCCAGCCTACACACAAAGAATCCCACTACTAGTCCATTTGGATAACTTTGAAAACGTTATTGACATAGCATTTGATATTTATGTACCTTTAACAGATAATAAGACCAGTGCAGTTATTATCTATGGAGAATCTCTCACAATTGCTTGGGTGCGTACGGTTATTCTATTGGAAAATGTTGAAAATATGATTGCTACATCCTATAGAAAAGTGTGGATCCTCACATCCCAGACTGATTTAATATTAACAAGCCTTCAAAAGGGTTGGGATCTTCAACTCTTCCAAGGTGCTCTTGCCTTTACCATTCACTCAAGGGATTGTGCAGGCTTCAAGGAATTTCTCCAGATAGTGCAACCATATTCCGCCCAAAGTGATGGATTTCTCAAGATCCTTTGGGAACAATCATTTGAGTGCTTACTTCCAACACCAAGCATGTCAGGCAAAGTCAAGAGAGGATGTACCATGGAAGAAAGGCTAGAAAATCTTCCTGGATCTCAATTTGAAATGGACATGACTGGCCACAGCTACAGTATCTATAATGCGGTCTACGCTGTGGCACATGCGCTACATGTCATGTTGTCATCTAGCTCCAAACACAGACCAATGGGGATGACTACAGTGCCTGAACTTCAACATCTGCAACCTTGGCAGGTAATATTGCATCCCATCCTCCTCTCTGTCTCCACCTAACTTTCCTCTCTCTGCATAACAGATGAAAAGGAATTGACCGTATCAATGTTTTGTGAGTTTATATTTCTCTGCACATTGGTATGTACAAATTATATGGTTTTAATGCTGTTCAGACTCTCCATTTTCCATATCAAAGAGTGTGATGCATATACTCAATGCCTGTTAACTTAGATGACATTTACTGAAGAAACATGAAATGTCATTATATCTTTTGCCTTTGTGCATGCCTCTTTTTTATCTCTCTTGACAACATTGTCCTCCTTTCCCAATTAGCTGCATCCATTTCTTCAAAGGATTTCATTTAATAATTCAGCTGGGGAAAGCGTGTCCTTCAATGAGAGGTGGGAAACAGAAGGTGGCTTTGATATCATGAACATGGTCATATTCCCCAATGCCTCCTTCCAAAGAGTGAATGTTGGAAGAGTGGATCCCAAAGCTGCTGAAGGAAAAGTATTCACCATTCATGATGACATGATTGAATGGCACACTAGTTTCAACCAGGTATAGATTCCCAAATTTTCTTGGAGGCTTTGTGCTTCTCCAGATGGCTCATTCAAGCATCAGAAATGTCTTTTGCAGCCTGCCATGATGATTATTCACACTGTAAACTAAAGCTAGTGCTGTGTTAAGTAGCAATTTCAAAAATGAAATGTAACATTCAGGTTCAAAATCAATCTATTCCTATTTTGAAATGATGCTACATTTTATGTATAAATGAGAGCTAGTCAATAACATACTTAGATGAAATATGGCTCTGGGGAATAAAATTAGTACATTGCAGACCACATATTTGCTATGTATTCAATTGTTCAAATCCATACAGTTTCAAGCAAAACCAGCTTAATTCCTCTGATGTACATGAATAGGTGCTTCCTCTTTCGGTTTGTAATGAACACTGCCATCCTGGTTATCGGAAGAAAAGCAAGGAAGGGGAAAAGTTTTGCTGCTATGATTGCATTTCATGTCCTGAAGGAAAGGTGTCAAACATGCCAGGTATGACACACATTATTGCAATTTTTTCATGTAAAATCAGATGGTTACATTTAGTAGTAGTAAATTGATATTGTGTATGTGTTACTTTCAGCTAGTCAGTTACCTGATATATTAATTCATCATGGCATGAAGTAATGAATGGGAGTTTCAGTACGGGAGAGAGAGACAGTTCGGTGGGAGCCGGATGGGAGCTGCACCACGCCAGTTTTGGTATTTTGTTCTTTTGTTGGCCTTTTTTGTTGCTTGGTTTCTGGCTGTTTTGGAGATTCTTTTATTTTGGCATTGTGTTTGGAAACTGTCTATCAGTTTATTTTGGCATTGTGTTTGGAATTCTGTCTATCAGTTTCCAGACAGACAGAATACTGTATTTTGTGTATGGTGGTTTTTGTTTCTGCCTCAGCAGTCCCCAAGTTGGTTTTCCTGTTTTCCTCGATCCCCAGCTGTGGAAAGGTTGAAAGCCACTGATGTAAGTGATATATCACTCATGAATTGGCATTGAAATAGAGCCTCTGTTTTTTTCTCAGATATGGAAGACTGTTTCAAATGCCCAGATGAAAGATATCCAAACGTGGGCCAAGCTGTCTGTATTCACAAGACTATAAGCTTTCTGTCCTACAAAGAACCTTTAGCAATCAGTTTCCTGTTGGTTGCTGTCTCCTTTTCTCTGATCACAATCTTAATCCTCAGAACTTTTATTGAGCACAAAGATACTCCAATAGTCAAAGCAAACAACCGGGATCTCACCTACGTTCTCCTCATCTCCCTACTTCTCTGCTTCCTTTCTTCTTTGCTATTCCTTGGACAACCTGGGAAAGTGACCTGCCTTCTCCGGCAACCATCTTTTGGCATCATCTTCTCATTGGCTGTTTCTTCTGTGTTGGCCAAAACCATAACTGTGGTGGTGGCTTTCATGGTCACGAGACCAGGGTCTAATATGAGGAAGTGGGTGGGGAAGAGCCTGGCCAACTCCATTGTTGTTTCTTGCTCCCTTACTCAAGTAGGCATTTGTGCTGTGTGGTTGGTGACCTCTTCTCCATTCCCAGATTTTGATATGCACACAATGACCGCAGTGATTATAGCAGAGTGCAACGAAGGGTCCATCACCTTGTTTTACTGTGCCCTGGGCTACATGGGACTTCTGTCTCTAATCAGCTTCATGGTGGCTTTCCTAGCCAGGAAGTTGCCTGACACTTTTAATGAAGCCAAGTTCATCACCTTCAGTATGTTGATGTTTTGCAGTGTTTGGCTGTGTTTTGTCCCAACCTACCTGAGCACTAAGGGGAAATATATGGTAGCTGTGGAGATCTTCTCCATCTTAGCCTCCAGTGCTGGGTTACTGGTTTGTATTTTCTTCCCAAAGTTCTACCTTATTGTGTTGAGGCCTGAATTGAACAACTGGGAGCAACTGAGAAGAAGAAAGAATTAAATACCTGCCTAGTACTCTTCGTATTATATTTTTGGTAGGGTAAGCATTGCAGGGGTGCTATTCCATTTAGTCACCTTGGGTTCTTTGTGAGAGGAAGAAAAGCAAGCTATCAATGCATTACTACTGCAGCTGCTACACATATTTATTTGAAATAGGGATGTCCATTAGATTTGGACAATCTTCAAAGCTTGAGTGGAGTAGATCACATTCATTTGTTTCTTTTCTGAAGCAGAGCATCCTCCAAAGCCAGTGGAAAATAAATCTTTCAAGAATGAAGCTGTGTTAGCAGCTTGTGTCCCTGAGATATGCACACATATGAATATACCTTATGGTATATTCCCATGCATATTTAAACCAAGAAAAGGTGTACAACTTCTGTCTTGTGCCGCATTCATATGGTTGTGGCCTTGGTGTCTATTTACTCATGGCATGTATCATCCTCCTTTATTTGAAGGACAAATCTGACCTGCAGAACTGCTGAAAATAAAGGAAAATGTGCAAAGAAAAAAGGGCGACATTCCTTTCTAATGGCTTGCAATGGCTTTCAGTGAAATGAAAAGCTATCCCAGGTAGACCAAGTATTGCAGATGCAGCAGGAAGTGTAATTGAGCTTTAGAGGAAGCAGTCCTTGAAAGACCATGTGCTTTGGAGGACAAAGGGACCATCAGTATTGAGACTTTGTGACTGGTCCTTGTAATAATCCTGTAATTTTCAATTTTCAATGCAGAATTTGCAAAGGTCTTGTACCAATGGGTTAATATTCAGAATGGAAGATCACAAAAGGACATTCCAATGTGTATTCCATTGGACATGGAAGATACAGTGGTGTGGAACATGGTACAAAGTTGCTTAACCTAGCTATGGAGAGTAGTACAGCTGGGATTATGGCATCCCAGAGACCTCTAACAGAGGAAGGCACTAAGGAAGAATCAGATAGTCAGTATTAGAAATTAACAGCCCTTGGTACTGTGATCTCCATAGACTGCGGAAATAAAACAATTTAAGGCAAAGGTTTACTTTTTGACCCCTTTACAAACATAGAACATAGAAAGACAGCGAGTCAGAAGGGGCCTCCCAGGCCATCTAGTCCGACCCGAGGCTCCAGCCTGCTCCACTCATGAGATGCCTACCATGTGCATGTCCAGCCTATCCTAGTAAACCCTCACCAATAGGGCCTCAACTACCTTCTGAGGAAGCCTGTTCCATACCCTTGGGGTCCTAACTGTCAGGAAGTACTTTCTGGCATCCAAATTGAACCTTGGTTCCCTGAGCTTGGCTCCACTGGAGTGTGTCCTGCCCTCTCCTGCAGGGGAGAACAGGTCTCTTCACCTCTAAGTGACACCCCCTCACATACCTGTATGTTCCCAAAAGATCCCCTCGGAATCTTCTCTTCTTTTGCTTAAGGAGAATTGGAAAGAAGCTGGTCACAAGTGCTAATGTGGCAGAGAGGATGTACAGCAGCTGTCCCCGAGTTTATCTTGTATCCCAGGATAAAGGACCATCACAGGACCTTTAGCAAACTATTTGTTCTTTAGCAAACTTTGTTCTTATGTGGTACATATGTTTTGGGAAATGGAAAGGAATTGCTTAGCAGATTTACAGGAAAGAATGGGTCAAGAATGATGGGTTCAAACTATGTGTCAGGAAGGCAGAACTATCTCAGGACGACTTACAAAGATAAAATACAAATATCACCAAACAGAAATAAATTATTGACCCATGCTAGCTGCAGTTAAAATGTAATGGTAAAAATACAATATTAAAACTTATTAAAATGTTGATCAAATAAAAAGGTCTTAACCTGGCGCCAAAAAACATATAATGATGAAAAACATATTTGAAAGTATTACAGACTGACTGGCAGGCAAATCCACACATCACACAGTTTTGGGAGGCATTTTACACACACACACACACACATGCATGTGCACACATACACAAACACAGTGAAATACTTCTGGAAAAAAGAAAACTAAAATAACCAAATGGATCTACACATCCCTTATTCACTATACTGATTTCATTCCCTTTCACAAATCCACCGCTCTAAACAGGTGCAAATTTAGCTTATTTGCCATCCATTTTTGAATACACTGTGTGCTATAATTCCACCCAAACAAGTCAAGAAAATACAATCATGATGTCCCCTCTGGACTGAAAGAGCTGGACCTCTGAACACCTACAGGAAAGGAGCTTTAAATAGTCGTGATGTAGTTGTTTAAGTGTAGCTCATACCACATCCCTTTTGGCGAATGGAGAAATTTACCTCCAAGAGCTGCTGAAAATAAGCTCAGCTGGAGCAAAAGTAGCATTCCCTTCCTTGAGTGTTTGAAAGATCTGAGTGAAGAGTTGTCCTGCATCCCCAGGCCGAGGGGGCTGGGGCTGTGAGAGTGTATGGGGGAATTTAAAAAGGATACAGTCTCTGAAAATTTGCATGCATATGTGCATAAAAGCACCAACACAGCCCTTTGGAAATCTATGGCTGAACACAGACTCACTTTGCATGACCCCCCCGATCAATCTCTAGACTGAGCTTATAATTCTAAAACATCTGCAATGACAGTTTTCCCTCTTTCCATGTCCGTTGCTAAATTCCACCAAAATAAAAATGCCCTTTTGGTGTTTCATTAACATTCTCTCCACCACAACAAACTCACTACATTTTTCAACTCAAACATCCCCTTTCTTACATCAGAGATCCATTTAATTCTTCATGATTGTTCTCCCATCATTCTTAGAAACTTTGCAGCCCCGTTTGGAGGCTTACCTCTCTTTTAATGATCTGCTCATACCCTAGACCATACCAAGCAGGACTTACTTACATTACTAAATCATAAGAACCGTCATTACTTATGTCACTCTTCTTGTAGCCCTTGACACTATTAACCATGATTATGTTGATTAATCCTGTCCCCATACCCACACTCGGCACACCCATGCACACAACAATAACACAAAAACCACAAATACACTCTATCGGCAGCTGCACACATCACATGCCTCTGTAGTTCCCTTGCTCAGATGGGTCTGTGTGTTTCTCAAACCCTTTTGGGATTCCTCAGCATGGCACATCGGGTATTGCACTGTGATGTATCTGTTTGCTAGTCTGTTTTTCAGGAACTACAATAAGAAATAGTATTCTGTTTCTGAGTCATCTGAAATGGGCATCTTGGATTCCATGGGCCATTTACACAGCTACTGCAGAGTCCCCTGAAAAGAGCAGCTGATCTGGGGAGAAGCCTTGCAGGAAACTGGAAGGCAGATGGTGGTAGAGCACCAAGACCACCTTATCCAAGAGCCAGGGAAAACACTTCCCTTCTCATGCATGCCCCTGCACCGGAGGGCTACAAAGGGGGTCCATTCTGATAACATAGCTGAAGCTGAAGCTTTTGTAAGATAAACCCCTCAAACCCTAATGGGAAAGGGGAAGGGGACAGGGACACTCTCTTAAAAGCTCAACCTCCTAGAAACTGAGGAAAGTTTACCTGCTTCAAGAAAAAATACCATTCTCTTCACACCCACAAATAGACTGTGGAGTTGTAAGAGGTCCTTTGGACCCGGTTCTAACCACAACTGTGCATGCCTCTCCTTCCAGTCCATAGCTCCTCACTGAATCTGAACTGAGACTGTGTATGTACACAACTTTGCCCCTTTCAGGTACTCAGAACTTAGATACGTCATGCAGACATGGGTCTGCGAGGGCACGAGTGCCTCCTACACTCCCCCACCCAGATATCCTGCTTCATATCTCTGGCTTAGGCAGCTCTAAAAGGGGCAGAGTGGGGATGTGGGAAGAATCCACTTGGGAGTGGAAATCGATCACATTCCCTGGGCTCTGCATGTTGGACTCCAGTCCTATTTGCAGTGGCCCTTAGTCCAAATCCCTGCAAGGGTGCCCAGCTTTCACTGGGCACTGTCCAGGAGCTGAGCCCACCTCAGGACACCTTAGGGTTGGAGGTAGCCTCCTTTTGGGTGGCTGCAGCTGATGGAGAAGAAGGCTGGACATGAAGGGCTCCCCAGGAAAGGAGCTGTGCAGACCCCTATGTGGGAAGGGGTTCCTCTCCCACACCGAGCTTGAGGAAAATGCAGCTGGTTGGTCAACCGCAAGTCTGGAAGTGTTTGCAGGCATCCTCTTGGCTCAATGCACTTGGAAGACCAGTCAGTGCAGAAGGAGAAGCCCAGGAAGGCTCGGAGGGGAGGATTCTGAGAGGGTCTGTCCCAACCCTAGTATGGGGAAGGGCCAAGAAAGTGAAATAGCCACACTGGATATGAGAGTTGTGATATTGTAAGGATGGAAAGGCAACTAATGCTGTGAGCCTTCAGGAGAAAGCCAAATTCCCTCCGTTGTCCCCAGAGGGTGCATATTAGGCAGCAGACTTGTAAGATGTCTGGCTCCCTAAGCAGCTTGGATGACTCCAGGGGCTCACTGGGGAGAATGAGTTGTAAGAAGCCAATAGCCTAGAAGGACACAAAATTCCAGGAGGAGGACTTAAGCAATGAACCAGGAAGACACTGTGGCAAGATTGGATCTGGATGGGAAGTAATGAAAGAGATGGAGGATGAAATCCATTTCCATGATCCTCCTGTGGATCCTCCAGAGCCCTATCCAGTTCATCATTGTTGGATAAGTTCCAGTTGATGTGGCCTGATGATGTGGACAAGGTGCTTGGACTGGGACACCCTACCCACTGCTTGCTTGACCTTTGTCCTTTCTGGTTACTTACAAAACCAAACACGGAATTGGTTCCTGGATCCAGGAGGTCATTAACACTTCTCTGTGGGAGGGTCGAGTCCCTGCCCCTCTGGAGGCAGTGATCAGGCCCATCCTAAAGGAGGCATCCTTGGACCAAGGGGTGGCTTCCAATTATAGACCGGTGGCCAACATACTGTTCTTGGGCAAAGTGTTGGAGTGGATGGTGGCGGCACAACTCCAAGCACTGTTGGATGAAACTGATCATCTGGACCCATTTCAGTCTGGCTTCAGATCCGGTTATGGTACTGAATCTGCCTTGGTCGCTCTGTATGATGACCTTTTCAGGGAGAGGGATGGGGGGATTGCATCTCTCTAGCTTCTCCTGGACCTCTCAGCGGCTTTCAATGCCATTGACCATGGTGTCTTTCTGGATAGACTGGGCCTCTTTGGAAGTAGGAGGCACTGCTAGGTATTGGTTCAACTCCTATTTGGCTGACTGATTCCAGAAGGTGATACTGGGAGACTATGGCTGTGTACCATGCCAACTTTTCCATGGAGTACCACAGGGTTCCATTTTGTCCCCCTTGCTATTCAACCTCTCCATGAAACCATTGGGAGAGATCATCAGGAGGTTTAGGCTGAGGAGTCACCAGTATGCTGATGACACCCAGCTGTACCTCTCTTTTACAATTAATCCAGGTGAAGCAGTTGCTGTCCTGAACTGGTGCCTGGCCGAGGTAATGGGCTGGATTAGGGCCAATAAACTCAAACTCAATCCAGATAAGATGGAGGTCCTCTTGGTAGGAGGTTCAGGTTTTCAGGTAAGTGATTTGGCCCTTTCCTGGATGGGGTTGTACTCCCTCTAAAGGATGGGGTCTGCAGCTTGGGAGTGCTCCTTGACCTGGAGCCAGTCCTGGACCCCCAGGTGGTGGCTGTGGTGAGTAGCACTTTCTTTCATCTTTAGTTCATCCATCAGTCGTGTCCTTACCTGGATGAGCACTGCCTTCGCAAAGGTGACACATACTCTGGTAACTTCCCAGGTGGATTAATGTAACGCACTCTATGTGGGGCTGCCCTTAAAGATGGTCCGGATACTACAATTGGTTCAGAACAGAGCTGCCAGATTGCTGTCAGGAGCAGGTCAGTATTCTCATAAAATGCCGGTCCTCTCTCAGTTTCACTGGCTTCCAATTGAAGATGAGGCCCAATTTAAGGTGCTGGTACAGACTTATAAAGCTCTAAACTGCTTGGGACCAGGATACCTAAAGGAACACCTTTTTACCTATTTGCCCACACGCTCCTTAAGATGTGCAGCAGAAGCCCTGCTCCAGGAACTCTCCTTGAAGGAGGTTAGGAGAGTACATACTTGGAGGTGGGCCTTCTCTGCGGTGACTCCTCGGCTATGGAATGCACTCTCCAGAGAGGTCAACCTGGGGCCAACGTTATTTTCTTTCCGGAGCCAGGTCAAGACATTTTATTCTTCCGACTTTGAATGTTCAATTATAACTACCGTATTTTTTGCTATATAAGACACACTTTTCCCCCCCTCAAAAGTAAGGGAAAATGTCTGTGCGTCTTGTAGAGAGAATATGTGTGCACAGTAAGTCTGTCAGCAGTGCAGCTCATGGGGAAATGATGGGGAATGTGCCTGTGATTATGCGCCCATTTGATTCAGAATATTTTTTTTCTTGTTTTCCTCCTCTAAAAACTAGGTGCATCTTATGGTGAGGCGCACCTTATAGAGCAAAAAATATGGTAGATTTTCATGCTCAGTTTGTGGATCATTTGTATTGTATTATGTAGGTATCTATGTATTTATGGGATTTGAACTAGAAGCCATCCTGAGATGGACTGGGTATTGGACAGCGTAAAAATTACACAAATGAAATGAAAAGAAAACAAAAGATAAAATAAGACTAAATCATCCCAGAGAGCTGCCAGAAAGAGGCAGGGTTTTTGCCTGGCTGCACATTCACTTCCTCCCACTGTGTCTCTTGCACAGTAATACAGGGCAGTGTCCTCAGCTTTCAGGTTGCTCATTTGCAGGTACAGCATGTTGGAGGAGGTGTCTCTGGAGATGGTGAAGCGCCCCTTCACTGCGTCGGCATAATACTGTTTGCTTCCATCATACCACATAATTCCAACCCATTCCAGGCCCTTTCCAGGGGCTTGTCTCACCCAGCTCATGTAGTAGCCGCTGATGGTGAAGCCGGAGGCCCGACAGGAGAGGCGGAGGGACTCCCCGGGCCTTTTCACATCCCCTCCAGACTCCACAAGTTGGATCTGAGACTGGACACCTGGAAAGAAAGGAGTTTTAAAGTGACCTGGTGTGTGCAGAAAAACAGGGCCTGCTGCAAATCTCTTTGGGTGAATGCAGAAAATTACCTTCAAGAACAGCTGAAAATATGGCAAGTTGAAGCAAAAGCATAATTGTCCCTGCCATGCTCTGAAATTGCTGATTTGAAAAGCGGTTGCAAGTCTCTGGGTGATGTACCTGTGAAGGAATGTGGATGGCAGATTTAAAGAGGAAGTCAGCTCTGAAAATTTGCATATGCACCAGGATAAAGCAGCACCACAGGCCTTTGCACAGCTTTAGCCCGAAACCCTGTTGTTTTAGCAGCACAACTAAACAGCCCTAATATCAAGCCGGTGCCACTTCATGCTGTGAGTCCTTGGTCCCTGCTATGTGCTTCTGGCAGCCCTCAATAGCCGCTCTGGTGGGTGTAGGACCCACGGCACACATCCCTTTGTTGCAGCTTCCTTGCTCTTCCCCTGCGCGTGAATGTGTGTGCCCCACTCCCAGGTCACCAGGTTCTTGTCAGGCATCCTGCCTGTTTTGCCTCTGGGAGGCACGAAGGGGAGCCATTTTCTTTTCCCTGACTCACCTCCTCAGTCCTTCAGAGGCACCTCAGTGCAACCAGCGATGCTCCCCTCTCCTCCCAAGACTGTGACCCAAACACCCTGTGACTCTTGTGTTTAGTTCTGGACTCCACACTTCAGGAAGGATATAGCCAGGTTAGAGTCAGTGCAGTGTAGGGCCAGCAGATGGTGGCCAGATTGCAGGGAAGCCATATGAGGTGAGACTGAGGGATCTGCATCTTTTTGGCCTGGAGAAGAGGAGACTTCAAGGGGATCTGTTGGCGACATATCGGTATATGAAGGTGTGCCACATGGCGGTGGGTAGGGAGCTATCCTGCCCTGCAGAGGAGGGCAAGAGACATCCAGCAGAACCAAGTTTAGAGAACAAAGGTTCAATTTGGATGCCAGGAAGTACTTCCTGACTTTTGGGACCCCAAGGGTCTGGATTGGGCATCCATGGGAAGTGGATGCAGTCCCATCAGAGAGGATGTTCAAGGATAGGTCAGACATGCACCTGGTAGGCATGTCGCGAGCAGAGCTGGCTGGCGCTGGGGGTCAGACAAGAAGGCACGGGAGGCCCTTCTGACTCGCTCTGTTTCTATGTTTTTATGTTTCTACTGATGTCCCTCATGGCCAGCTTGCTTTTTTCTCCACCCAGGCTGCTCTCTAATGCGTGTGTGTTTTCTTTACTGGGCCACCCACTCCTACTCTTCCCTTGATGTTTCACAATGAATCAAACTTCTAGGGCCATTCAAATGTTTATGGGCACATACAGCTTGCAAAAACCTTCCCCAGGAAATTGTCCACCAGACAGATCACCCACTAGTGACTGGGAAGAGCAGTGGGAGCAAGGTTAAACTTCCAAAAATATAGAAATACTTGTTTCCTTTCCCTCCCTGCTAGGGCACTAACTTGTTTCATTTGGGACACCAGAGTGCCCCCTTCTGTCACACAGAAAGAGGAGTGTCTGAAACCCCTTTCAGAGCAGATCCTTTTCCTGGCAACTGTGGTTCAAGTGACTCATACGTTCTGGAAACTCATCATTGCCTCTGAAACTCCTGGAGTTGACTTGGTGGTAGCAGAGAAAGACAAGTAAATGGACCCTTGTGTACTTTTTTGAGATAAGAGAATGGGGAGTTTGACTTCATTCAGGAACCTGAGAAGTGGGGAGAAGAAGAGGGGGACGGGGACAGGGATGGGGAAGGATGGTGATGAAGCTGTTCTCAGAAACCTCATAGGGAATTCTAAGGAAGGCATAACTTCTCTCACTCACTGGAATCACACAAAAGATATTTGGTTCAGTGCATCCCCTGCTCTCCATTCAAGGGGAAGATTTTTTGCCTGCTGTGGAGCTAGCTAGCATTGGTGGACTTCTGAAGAAGAATCAATTCTTTGGCGAAAAGTGATGGAAGATCTACCCCATGACAATGTGTTAGAGAATGCTGAGAATTTCATGAAAAGGGGCCTAGATGGACTCCATCTAGGGTCCAAGAACAGGGTAGTCACCTTCTTCACATTGTTCTTCCACTTCTTGGACCCTGTAATTTATTGCACTGAAATTAGCCTGGAATGTTCTCTGAAGCATGGAAGGGTTTTTGCCTGGCTGCACATTCACTTCCTCCCACTGTGTCCCTTGCACAGTAATACACGGCCGTGTCCTCGGCTTTCAGGTTGTTCATCTGCACGTACAGCATGTTGGAGGGGTTGTCCCTGGAGATGGTGAAGCGCCCCTTCACTGTGTCTGCATATTGTTGCTGGCTCCCATCAGTGTATATCCCTGCAATCCATTCCAGTCCCTTTCCTGGGGCTTGTCTCACCCAGCTCATGTAGTAGCTGCTGAAGGTGAAGCCGGAGGCCCGACAGGAGAGGCGGAGGGACTGCCCAGGCTTTTTCACATCCCCTCCGGACTCCACCAGCTGGACCTCTGATTGGACACCTGGAAAGAAAGGACCTTTGAAGTGACCTGACGTGTGCAGAAAAATGGGGCCTGCTGCAAATCTCTTTGGGAGAATGCAGAAAATTACCTTCAAGAACAGCTGAAAATATGGCAAGTTGAAGCAAAAGCATCTTTGTCCCTGCCATGCTCTGAAATTGCTGATTTGAAAAGTGGTGGCAAATCTCTGGGTGATGTACCTGCGAAGGAATGTGGATGGCAGATTTAAGGAGGAAGCCAACTCTGAAAATTTGCATATGCACCAGGATAAAGCAGCACCACAGGCCTTTGCACAGCTTTAGCCCGAAACCCTGTTGTTTTAGCAGCACAACTAAACAGCCCTAATATCAAGCTGGTGCCACTTCATGCTGTGAGTCCCCGGTCCCTGCTACGTGCTTCTGGCAGCCCTCAATAGCCGCTCTGCTGGGTGTAGGACCCACGGCACACATCCCTTTGTTGCAGCTTCCTTGCTCTTCCCCTGTGCATGAATGCGTGTGCCACACTCCCAGGTCACCAGATTCTTGTCAGGCATCCTGCCTGTTTTGCCTCTGGGAGGCACGAAGGGGAGCCATTTTCTTTTCCCTGACTCACCTCCTCAGTCCTTCAGAGGCACCTCAGTGCAACCAGCGATGCTCCCCTCTCCTCCCAAGACTGTGACCCAAACATCCTGTGACTCTTGTGTTCAGTTCTGGACTCGACACTGCAGGAAGGATATAGCCAGGTTAGAGTCAGTGCAGTGCAGGGCCAGCAGATGGTGGCCGGATTGCAGGGAAGCCATATGAGGTGAGACTGAGGGATCTGGGTCTGAGACAGGGAGCTGTTGTGCCTGCAGAGGAGGGCAAGAGGCACTCCAGCACAGCCAAGCTCAGAGAACCAAGGTTCAATTTGGATGCCAGGAAGTACTTCCATAACGTTAGGACCCCAAGGATCTGGAATGGGCTTCCATGGGAGGTGCTTGAAGCCCCATCAGAGAGGATGTTCAAGGATAGGTTAGAAATGCACATGGTAGGCATGTCGAGAGCGGACCTGGATGGAACTGGGGGTTAGACTAGATGGCCTAGGAGGCCCCTTCTGACTCAAAGGAAAGACTTCCAAATTGGAGCCCAATGTGCTTAATGAAAGGATAAGTGCAACCTGATGGAGAATTCAGAATTAATGTATATCAGCTACTTAGACCACTGAGTTCAAGCTAAACTGTAGAGTCTTGTCATTTGAGATCAAATGATTGGAAAGACTCTTGGCAGATGGACAAAGACAGTTTTCAAGCAAGACACCACATGAAAGAGACACCCAGACAGCTGAAACCACAGGACAGCACACATGGATGGATATTAATGTATTTATTTCACTCCCTTCATAACTAGATGTATGGAGTGCTGGTTTTCATGAGCCTGCTGCCCCCTATTGGGTCGATGGAGAACAGCAGGCTTGTAGTCATGGATGGATCACAGAGAATGACAGCAAATCCATATATTGAGCAGTGGTGGGTGGGATTTCAAGCACACACATACACACAATTTCTCCTTCTGTGGTTATTTACAATTTCTGGGCAGCCTCCCAGCCATGCACCCCACCAAACGGAAGCGTTAAAACTGTCATTTTCTTTGAAAGGTTTGTATAATTGTCATCCACTGGTACCCTTTGGGGATACTTCTGAATAAATAACACAATTGAATGCACAGCTGTTACAACTGATAATTGACTTAAAGATAACAATAGCAACAAAAACATTTGGATAGATCTCCCCTTCCCATTTCATAACTTTCCTGATATTTTTGTATCTTTATATTGGTCTGTTTCTTGTAGCTTGTCTTGTACATTAGTTCTGAGATACGAGTCTTCACATATTAAGTAGTTAAGACCATAAGAGCTTAGGAAAAGCCCTGCTGGATCAGAGCAAGGGTCTATCTAGTCCAGCAGCCTGTACACACAGTGGCAAACCAGCTGTCATCAGGATCCCTCCAGCACGATGGGTGCAAGAGCTCCTCCTGCCCAGCTCCTCAGAAACTGGTCTATATAGGCCAGGGGTCCTCAAACTTTTTCTAAAGGGGGCCATTTGACAGGTACCAGCGGTGGGTGTGGGCTATCAAGGCAGTGCTGGCATGGGGGCATGGGTTAGTGAGAGGGTAGGGTATGCGTGCATGCACCCGAGGTGAGGGGAGGATGGGGGCCACGAGGCAAGGCACCGGCTTGCTCATGAGGAGCTCATTTTCTCCGATTGAGTCCAAAATGATCTCCCCGCAAGCAAACTGCCACCGGGTGTGCACAGCAAGGCACCGGCTTGCTCACGGGGAGATTATTTTCTTCAAGCTAGTCTAAAACAACCTCCTCGTGAGCAAGCTGTGTGCCCATGCATGCCTGTGCACGTGCCCGACGAGTGCAAAACCTGTGGGGCAGGCCAGTTAAATGGGCATCGCAGGCTGGATCCAGCCCATGGGCCTTAGTTTGAGGACCCATGATGTAGACTCTCCAACTTTGGTGAAGCAGGTGGCTCAACGCCAGCAAAGTTAGTAGCCACTGAGAGCCTCTGCACCCACTAATCTGTCCAATCTCTTTTTAAAGCCATCCAGATTGGCAGCCGTCACCACTTCCCATGGCAGCACATTCTGTATTTTAACTACTACTACTACTACTACTATTATTACTATTATTACTATTATTATTATTATTATTATTATTATTATTATTATTATTATTATTATTATAACTATATGCTTTATGAAGAAATACTTCCTTCTGTCTGTCCGAAATCAACCACCAATCAGCTTCATGGCTGTAATCTGTTGGTCAGCTAGAAGAAGTAAACTTGTCATGAGTCTAGGTTGCGTATGTGTGTGAGTGTGTGTGTGAGCGTGCATGTGTGAGAGAGAGATGAGCCTTCACTTGGTTTTTTTTTTTACATTTTAATTTTTTGTCAATCCTTAACTATAACAAAAGCATATAATCATCTAACAGCACACACATCTTCTATATAACAATAACTCTATTTACATATCCATTCAAAATCTATTCCAAAATTGATACTCACAGATATAAAAAATATAGACTTAATAGACAGCAGACCAAGATACTAGTGGGTTACCCAGCATATTTATCTCAATATTTGATTCCATATTCGAGGTTATGAACCTTACCTTGTTTGAGAGGCAATAAAGGACATTTCTACTGAATGCTTACCAGAGTGGAGTCCAGGAAATAAAAAAGTGGATCAATTGGTTCCTGTATTTGACCATTTCTTGCTCCTCCTGCTCCTGTTACTCCAAATCTTTTCCTGTGTGTAAAACAAACATGCATTTCTCTACAGGCATGTGATACGTACCAGCCACCTTCACTTGAAACATAGACACCGGGTGGTCTTCCCTGGAGGAAGAATCTAGAGTGGAGTGGTGGCTGGTTCTTTATCATGGAGCAAACTAGGATTTAGCCCCGCTATGTGAAAGGAGTGCTCTGGGAAATGAATGCCCAATTATTTTTGGTTTGTCTTTCTGCCTCTGCCTCTGCCTCTTTTGGTGGGGGGAATCTCATTCAGCATGTCTTTCCAAAGAATACAATCTTCCTAAAATGGATCTGGCAAACTGGATTTGGAGGATGATGGGTGGCCTAATGAGTTAGAAGGAGAAAATGTGGGGCAGGGGGTTGAATGAACACCTGAATAAAATGTTACATCATTGGCCCACCCCTTTGGGTCTATGAAAACACTTTGCTCCCTCCTTGTTCTTCAGTGTCTCCCCGCATTCCATGATGGTTTGGTTCCCTGTCACTGCCTGACTCTGATTTTTCAGAGCCACCTTCCACTCTTCCTATCACTTTTATTTCACATTGCAAATCTGAACTGCCTGCCTGGGAATAAAATATGGTGAGAAAGCTGGGCCCATCCTCACCCTGTGTTTCCCTGTGCATTCCTGGGAGCTTGAACTTCTGCAGCACATCCATTCCTGTGCCAGAAGTGCCTTTGGGGTTTTTGGGGAGATGTTTTTACTGTGCAAGACTCACAGTGACAAGTTAGAGTCTTCAGGCTTCAGGCTGTTCATCTGCAGATAAACTGAAGTTTGAGAGTTGTCCTTGAAGATGGTGAATCTTCCTTCGGCCTTAGGATTATAGCGTTTGATTTTTCCATCATCCTTGTCAGCTCCAGCCACCCACTCCAGCCCTTTTGCTTGGGCTTGGCGGATCCAACGCATTACACAATCAGTGAAAATGAATCTGGAAGCCTGGCAGATCAGGCAGAGGGTGCCTCCAGGTGCCACATCACCTCCATCTGTCTCCACCAGCCGAACCTCTGAGTGGCAGCCTGAAAAGAAAAGACCAGTTGAGAATTTAGGGAAATTGTGAAGGAAAGTCTGCAAACGTCTGGTGTATACACGAAAAACAAACAACCTGGGACCACTGCAGTGGAGAGCCAACCAAAGGAGCATGCTTCCGGAGACTGTTGGAATCACCTCCTTGACTGGAATAATGGGAGCAGCTTTCTGGGTGGTTGCTACCTTCTGGCTGGATCATTCTCAGCCTCTTGTAAGGTGAGCTGGTTAGACTGATTTGCATATGCTTTCTATTCAAGGGCTTTCTAAGACCAGCTCTTTTGCAATCTTATTTCACCTCACTTTTGTGGAACTACTAAGAGCAGTTCAGATTGTTACAAATGAGTAAGCCTCCTAGAAAGACAGACGGCAGTTCCTGAAAGGGGTATGGGGAAGGAGACAACTGGGGAAAAGTCTTTCACAGTTGAAAGCCCAGATTTCAAGTGTCTAACTGTTTTCCCTCTGCTATGATGGCATTTTGGATTTCTTCACAACACTGAACTCTTAACTGGTCATTCTGCTGCCATGCATGGCTTTAAATTTCCAAGAGATCCATGAGTGGGCAATGTGCGTGACCTTTAGAAATCTAAGAAGATGTTTGGCTATTAGTAAATCAACCCTGAATGTTCTATAGAAAGTCAGATACGGAAGATAAAACATAAATACTTTGGCCACCTAATGAGAAGGAAGGACTCTCTGGAGAAGACCCTGATGTTGGGAACGATTGACGGCAAAAGGAAAAGGAGACAACAGAGGTTGAGGTGGTCAGAAAATTTGGATAAAGTGCCCATATGCCCCCTTGGAAATCTCGGGACATACCTACTGATTAAACACTGCAGCCACTCAGTTCTGCGACTCAGACGTCCCTCCCCATATCGGCAGCAGAGTGAGTGTTT